AAATTAATTTATATCTTCTAAACGGTAATAGATAGGTATAGGGAAATAGTATATGAATTTGTTGACAAAGTGATAATGAATCATAATATGATATTATATACGGGGTGTTCCATTTGAAAAATCAAAGAAGCCGCTAATTTATAGTAGAAGCGACAACACCGCTTCGTCTGAAATATTTTAGGCGTGTAGGTCATACTGATTTATGCATACTGTGGAATTTTCAGGTTGAAATAAATAAATAGTTTGTCAGAAACGGCTAATTAACGCTCATCGTGAAAAGCCCTGTATATCTTTCATTATTTTCATGAATAGGTGCAGCCAACTTTTGTGGAACATATTCTTGCCCCAATTCCATTTTCAAGCAATACATAACAATTCGAACGAAGGGGTGAAAAGGATACACGCTTGACTGATTCTGACGTGTTTCCACCAGCTGCAGTTTGTAACACGGGGCCTATGGTCGGCCTTTTCTTGTCGAGTCTCTTGTGTATAATTATGTCGTTTGGTTGGCACTTATTCAAGGACGTGCGAGTAACTTGTTTGTATTTCAATATGGTGGATATTTTCCAAATTATTTGTGAAAAAGTAGTCTTCAATTGTTGAACAATATATTTGTTCATTGAAATTTAGTGTGTGATCAAGTTCCGAAATAAGCACTGCTCCCAAAATCAGAATTGTAACCCCCTTCTCAACGCTCGTTTTACCAACCAACTTGGTGATATCAGGAGATTAACTAGACTAATTCATAACTAATTGAATAGAACTGGCCGATACTTGATGAAAATATCGGTACGACCAATCAGCCTTACATCCTTCCTGCTGAAAGGACTTGAGAGGATACTGGACGGACATATGAGGAGGGTAGCATTATATGCATCCCCACTGAATAACCACCGGTATGCTTATCAAACCGGCAAATCGACAGATTCAGTATTAAACAACCTCGTTGAGAAAATCTCCCAATCCTTTGACAACAAGGAGATTGCGGTTGCTGTATTTCTTGATATTGAAAGAGCATTTGCCAATGCACCATCTGAATCTATTGGATTGCCTCTGGCTAGAAAGGGTATAGAACCGACCATAACTGGCTGGATCTATGCCATGCTAGTAAACAGAACTGCAACTACGACCCTTCAAGGCGAGGCTATCAGGTTCAGGGTCACCAGGGGCT